CATCAATAACGTACCTTAACTTCCATTTTATTTCTTGAAACTTCCCGAACTAACGGAATAACGCGAAACGGTAACTGAATATCCTTCGTTGTCCGATACCTGTAAAAACAATTTTAGCTCCTCACCAAAAGCCAATGCTTTCGTGTATCGAATTTCTGAAATCAGTTTTTTGTTTATTCTTCTGTAAAAACAAGTAAATGAAGTGCAAAAACGCAGAATTTTCAAAATAAAAGCAGCTTCTTCCAGTCTTTTGAGCAACTGCAGTCTCAATAAACGTTCTTCGCGTTGCGGAAGATATTATTGCAGTAGAAATTGCTTGAAATATAATCTTCAAACTTTTTGACTTGCTGCGATTGATCCATATCTAAATTGCCGTCAAACTAAACTAAACAAAACTCGAAGCAAACAGCAATATTTGACCCATTATTTGCAAAGAATACCAGCTGTGGTACCGGGTAGTCTCCAGAGCACTTAGACATGTTCCAATTGGCAGTATAAAGTGATTCCTGATGCGAAACGACAACATGGGATGACACAACTTCCTTGATGACTCTGCACAATCCTCGTTTTTTTTGTTGCCCCAATAAATTCCCACTGCATTGAATTTCTAAATATGGGTTGTCGCACTGGCAAATTCCGCGCTTGAATTTTTCTCAAAAACCAGAGGTAATCAGGATGGAGGTACAGCATACTTGCAACATTTGTTGATGTTGTGCTCATGTCTCACTCGTTTGCTGGTGTTCTTCATATTTTCTTGAAAAATATGAATCAACTTTTCTTCGGCATTGTGTACCACTTAGTTAGTCAAAAAGGAATTCTGCAAGAAAATTATCTGATACACTCTTCGATACCTCTATCAATCAAGGATTATTTCAGTAAACACTGTTGAGATTGCGAACTCCTTGTACTATGCGAATTTAAGAAATTGCGCATGGCCAAGTTGTAGTGAGGTGAGGTAGCCATCGCAAGATTACTCACTAGAATCACGAACAACACGTCCCAAGATTACTCACTAAAATAACGAACG